CACTGGTTGGGCCACATTTCTCCGTTTTCAACAGCTTGTTTTTGTGCTAGATAGGTTTTGGGATTGCTTTTTTGCTGATACGATGCATATACATATAAAGTTAATTTCAAAACAGTTAGAAATTGTTAATTAAATTTTGGGGCAACTACGCAACAATGGAGATTAGAAAAATTATTTACAAACAAAGTGATCAACATTATAAATATTAATATTTAAAATCATAAATTTTTTAATTTTTTAAAAATAATTTTCTCGATCACACTAATGTGTAATTCTCCCTTAAAATTTTCACTTTAAGTACTTACTTGTTTAGAAGAGCATGAAAATATATTTTTTGAAAAATCCAAAATAAAAAAAAAAATATTGATTAAACACCAAAAAGAGGTTAGTGTAGCATTTTTTTGGATTGTTTTTCAATTTATTATTATTATTCATATTTTGAGAACTTTCGAATCTAGAAAAACTTGAAAAGAAAATATTGTTGACACAAATTTCTTTAAAAAAATTTAAAAAATTGCGATTTTTTTGGTCTTTGCCCAACAAAACCATAATATGAAGAAATTGTTTTATTTTTATATATTTTAAAATTTTAAAGCATATTTATAAAAATTTCAGAATACTTGTGTATGTAAAATTAATATTTATTAAACTAAATAATTTAGATATAGTGATGAATATTTTTACTTATAACCATTGAACTAAACTTAGGGTGCGACTTGGGTGGGCTCAACTTAAGCAACCCGAGCCTAGTCTAAAAAATTTTAAGGCTTGGAAAAAATATTCTTAAATTCAGCATGGGTTTGGACAAAAATTCAAAAGTTCAAAAATTAAATTTGAGTGAGTTTGGACAAAAATATCAAACAACCTGAACAACCCAAAATCCGAATTATATATATAATTGTATAAAACTATTGATTATACATATAAATTATTGTAGGCAGTAGATGATATTTAGATCGTCAAATCATATTAAATATATTATACACATAATTAACACAATACAAAATTATTTTTTTTTCTCACTCATAAATTGTAAATACCATCACAACGGTATCTCTCTTACATTATATAAATTATTTATTTTGAAGTTATTAATGATTTTATATTAAAAAAATGTAAATAGTCTAATTTTAACAAATTAATTAGCTTAGCTGCACTAAAAAAAATTTAAAATTTATGTGCAATTCAGGTGATTCGGGCAACTTGGATTTAATTCGGATCGGACTTGGACAGACAAGCTCGAGTTACAATTTAAGCTTGAGAATTAAGATGTGGTGAATTAAGGCTTCGTTTAGCATCATAGGTTGAGCCTAATTTAGCTATAAAAAGATAAAATAAACTAAAAAGTTAATGACAAAATATCATATCCAAATCATAATCATTTCATTTTTTCTCTCATAAAAGTAAAAAAATCAACGCAAACGAATTTTTTAACCAGAGCTAAAATAACCAAAATGTCAAAAAGTCAAAAAAAAAAACGAACCCACATGCCAAATGACAACTAAATATCCAAATAATATGACCTATTGAAAAATAAACATATGTTATAAACTAATTAAAATATAAGTACTTGAAAAAAGTGCTTAAATTTTTTTTTCTAATAAATTTCTCTATCTATAATAATTATAGCATTAATATTGTTTTTTGATACTATGAATTGTTTGTTTTTATTTTAACTTGGACTTTCACTAAGGAAAACGAGTAGCATCAGCATCAATTCACATCACGTGAGGATCTTGACGTTTATGAGTGGTAGGTCCCACGTAATTTACGTGGACATGCCAAATAGGCATTCGGTCATCTTCTCGGTAGTTTATCTGGGTCCCATAACATTATTGTTCAAATATATTTTAGAAAAATACAAGTACAAAGAATCATTAATCAAAGTAGCCAATTACCAAAGTAATTTTACCTTGGATAACTTGAAGATTTTCGGTGTAGATTTTAATAGGATGAAATATCAATAAATCTTAAAATGTGATCTTATAAATTGTTTAATTTTTTATTTTTTTTCTTATGAACCCAAATATCTCATTAATGAGTTTCTAGAGAGAGAGAAAAGTTATCCGGGTCCCATAACATTATTGTTCAAATATATTTTAGAAAAATACAAGTACAAAGAATCATTAATCGAAGTAGCCAATTACCAAAGTAATTTTACCTTGGATAACTTGAAGATTTTCGGTGTAGATTTTAATAGGATGAAATATCAATAAATCTTAAAATGTGATCTTATAAATTGTTTAATTTTTTATTTTTTTTCTTATGAACCCAAATATCTCATTAAAGTGAAAATTACATAAAAGAATAGTCATTTACATGTATGGGTTTAATTTTCTAGGGATAAAAGTAGATTTTTCTAAATGTAAAATTACATATTTAGGCAATCCGTACTATAGAGATTTTGAATTTTTTCTCATTTTGGAACAAATCTCACGTTACGCACAAAAATATAATACTCTAATGTAATACTTTAATAACGTAACAATTCAATGTAACACACTAAAAAATTTCTTTGTGTATTTTTCTCAAACGTAATAACATAACACTTCAAAAAAATTCTTTAGTGTATTTTTCTCAAACGTAACACTCTAATGTAACACACTAAAATGTAACACTCCAATCAATATAATCTCAAACGTAATAGTCTAATGTAACACACAAAAAAATACTAAAAGACTCTTCATGTACTTTTTTTCAATTGTAACACTCACAGTTTGAAATTATGCATTTGCCCAAAGGTCACTACGAAATTTTATACTCATTTTGGAATGATTTAAAGAATCCCACATCATTTTTTTAGAATGTTACATTTGAGAAAAGTACACTAAGAAATTTATTTATGTATTACATTGGAGTGTTACACTAACATTGTGTTTGGTTGGGAGATTGGGGAAGGGATTTAGAAAGATAAATGAAAAAAGTGTGTGAAACTAAAATGAAGGTATATTTTATTCACATTTCACCTAACTTTTCCCTTTTCATTTTCAAATCCCTTTCCAAATCCCCTAACCGAACATAAGGAGTTTTTTTGTAATACTATATTGGAGTGTTACGTTTAAGAAAATTACACTAAGAATTTTTTTTGAAATGTTACGTTTGAGTGTTATATTAGAGTGTTTTAGTTTGAAATTATACATTTGCCCAAAACTTACTAAGGAGTTTTTATACTCCTTTTGAAATGTTTGAAGAATCGCACATTGTTTTGGAATGTTTAAAGAATTTGTAAACATTTACATTGCCACATATACTCTGAATTATATCACCCATATAGAGCCTCATTAAGCAAACATCAAAGTAAAATGCAAACATCCACATTCTTCACGTAACACTAACATGATGTAAACATTCACATTGTTCCACAAACTCTGAACTATAGCAGATCAACATTCAACACTAATCTGATGACCTTCCCTCTACATGACCACGATGTAAACATTCACATTGATTCATAAACTCTGAATTATATCATTCACACAGAGCCTCATTATGGATACATCAAAGTAAAAGGAATATTATAACATTCTTCACATAATCTGAACGACCTCCCCTCCACAGTACCACGTATGATGCATGTAATTGAAAAACCAGAGCATCCGATCCATAGCAATAAAAAAACAGAGCATCTGATCCATCATAGAAATCAAAACATAAAGTGAACATGTATTCATAACCAAAATGATACTAACCTTAATCATGCAATCCTACAATTGTCCAGAAACTCGAAAACAACCACTTTGAAGTAGTTATACTCCAGAAAATGTGAAAATCGAACAATATGAAATTCGTCGTCTTCACTTGAAAATCACCGAACCAGAGCAACAATGAAACCCTAGCACATCAAAGCCTCAGAACGAGCATGCAAGATAGAAACGTATCCATTTGAATTAGAATGATAGAAACTGCCAAAACTGAATCCACGAAATTACAGGGAACGTGTTATGTATTAACACAATATATATATACATATATATAAGGGCATAATAGTCCAGGTAAAAATATAAAATTAGAAACATGGACTTTATGGAATAAAAAGAAAAGTATATGGGACTAATCAGGTTATAATATTCCTTTGTGGACTTAATGGGTTATAACAACTCTAAAATGGATTTATTAATAAAAATTCCAAAAGAAAAGAGAGCAAAAGTTATATATATTATGCGAAAGAATTCATCATTCACTAGGAGTCAAAATTGTTAGTCTCAGATGATTCCAGACTCTGTTTGGAAAAGTCTCATGGACCTTAACTTCAATTCCACACTTGTTCATCATCGTCTACTGCACACTTTGCACAAAAATAACAACATTTAATATATTATTTATAAGCTTCATACATAATATTTTATTTTCATTGTATTTAGATTATAAATTTAAATATAGATTTAAAAAATAAATAAAAATTAACTTATATTTCATTCATATTGTTTATATATTTTCTCTTTTTCTTTTTAAATTTTTACTAAAATTCATAATCCAAACATAACATTCAAGTGTTCTGGCATTTATTAACGTTTCATTTGGCTTGTTTCGACCAAAAATATTTTCAAACTAAAACTATATTTTACAGAATTGGTTTTGTCAAAAAATATCTTTCGAAGAAAATATTTTCATGTGTTTGGCAACATGATGGCAGTCGTGATGTGGTGTTGGGGATATTCACAATCGGAAAATCTTAGCACCAGTTCTTCTCCTAATCTTTATGTTGTTTTTCAATGGGGCTAACAACCCTTTGATCTACATATATATAGATATATGTAAACTCTAAGAATAAGAGAGAGGACTGGACCTAAATAAAATAACTACTAAAACAGGCGTTACACTTCCATATCACATATCCACCTATAAAATAATAAACACACCAAGATAGACCATGGCCCAAAACTTTACGAATCACAATGATAATTTTGGACTCATACCAGTCAATCTGTCTGAATCACTTTCAACCTGTTTTTCACAAACCAAACAAAATATAATCAATGACAGCCTAATTAAGAACAAATTCTTACATTACCGTCTCTCTAACTGGAACTGGAACTGGAACTAGAACTGGAACCCTAACTCTAACTCTTCTTCTACCAACAACAACAACAATAACAACCACTACAACTAGTATGGTGTCCACTACGACTCTACCTCCAAAAGAGTTATTGCTATTAACATCACTTTCTTGCCTTTCCCTATTTCCCTCCCTCTCCAAAACCCTTTCGGAAACCTACCTGAGCTTCACACTCTCTCCCTTCCCCACAATCTACTCTCCGGTCTGATTCCATCTCAAATCGACAATATTCGATCTTTGCAAATCCTTGAGCTCCAAGGAAACAATTTCTCCGGGCACATTCCTTATCAGATAACATACCTCTCCTATCTCCGCCTCCTTAATTTATCTTATAATACGTTCTCCGGTCTTATTCCGGATACTTTGATTGGTTTTGCCAAAGTAAATACTCTTGATTGCTCCAATAATCAGCTTTCAAGTCCAACTGATCTCCATAAATTTGATGCTATATCTAAATGTGAGTCTCTCAATCATTTGAAGCTCTCTAACAACTATTTTCTTAGAGCTATGCCTTCTGTTATCGGCAAATGCTCCAACTTGAGAACTTTTTCACTCGATGGCAACATTTTCCAAGGTCCTATTCCTCTCGAGTTAGGCCAAATTCACCAACTCCGAATTCTCGACGTTTCCATAAATAGTATCACCGATAGGTTTCCTACACAACTAGCCGACTGCCGAAAGCTTTCTTTTGTCACGTTGACCAACTTGGTTGATCCCCAATCTGACCAAAATTACTCCTCCGCTGCCAGTGGTGGTTGTGGTGTTGGAGAATTCAATGCCTTTGACCGTGGTATACCTTATGAGGTGTTGTTGCTTCCAAACCTTCAGATATTTTGGGCACCAAAGGCAAATCTCAAGGGTAGGTTGCCTGATAACTAGAGGAGCGATAATAGCAATAATACCTATTATTGATCCCTGAGGGTAGTCAATCTGGGGCAAAATTATTTTACTGGTGACTTACATCAGAATATGGCAGCAGTGTGCAAAAATTTCACTGGGATTTGAGTTCAAATGGTTTGCAAGGTTACATTCTTTGGCAGCTGCAAGTTCCATGTATGGTGTATTTCAATGTCAGCAAAAATTCATTGTTGGGTCTTCTTCCAAGATTTAGCAACAACACTAGTTGTGATATTAGCATGATTTCTTGTAGGAACGATCCTAACTTGTTATACGAGGAAGATGTTTAGATAGCCTACTCTAACATACCTATTTGGGGTTCTTAGATGAACACCTTCTTTGAATCCGACTCAGATAATCATTTATCTATGGTCGTCCAAGATTTTAGTTGGAATGGCTTCTCTAGTTCTCTGTCTTTCTTCTCCTTTACGAATAAGTTCTTCCAGACCATTGGTAAGACCTCATACAGATTGTTGGTGAACAATAATATGTTTAATGGGTCTCTTCTAGGAGTGCTATTTTCAAACTGTAATGATCTGCAAAGCTTTTCAGCTAACTTGAGTGCTAACCAACTATCTGGTGCACTATACCTAGAGTTACTCCTTGATTGCATATAGTTAACCATTTTTGAAGCAGCACAAAACCGTATTGGTGGGTCAATTCCTCCCAAGATTAGCAGCTTGAAGATGCTTCAATTTCTCAACTGAAGTCGAAACTTGCTGTCTGGATCCCTTCCTATTCAGTTGGGAGAGTTTTAGGATTTGGAGTTGATTTCTCTCCAAGACAACAATTTGACTGGAGAAATCCAAACTCAGCTTGGTCAATTAACTTCTCTCATGGTTTTGGATCTCTCTCAAAATGCCCTAACTGGATCCATCCCTGGAAGTTTAGCCAATGCCACGAGTCTTCAAGTTGTGTTGCTAGATCACAACAGGCTTTCTGGGGGGGAACTTGCATCTTTTTCAAAGTTTCTCAATCTTATTCAACTGGATCTTTCTTTCAATAACCTTTCCGGTCATATACCTCATCTTCAGTACGCAAATGATTCTTATTGTTTTGGAAGGAATTGATTTTTACGTTTGTGTCAGACTAGTACTCAGCACCACTAACTGGGCTTCCAGTCCCACTTCAAGTTCAAAAGTGGTACAGCCGAAGTAAATTGAAGTCTCTTGTAATAGTGATGGCCATTTCTGCATCTTTTGTGCTTTTTTGTCTTAGTAGTTATAGTTCTTTTCGCCCTCATTGGAAAGGGAAAGCTTAGTAGACTCACTAGCCTAAAAAAGAAAGTTGTAGTGACATTTGCATACGCTCCGACTGAACTGAATTACGACAACGTGGGTAGAGCAACTGGGAATTCAGTATCCTCAACCTAATTGGCTTCCTTGTAGTTGTGCAATGGCTCTCAATTGGTAGATTTCAAGGCATTCACCAGTTTAATGCAGAGATACGAACTTTAGGAAGAAAATTCAGCATAAGAACCTTGTGACTCTCATTGGGTACTACGTGGGAGAAGTTAAGATGTTCTTGATTTACAACTATCTTTTTGGTGGAAATCTTGAAACCTTTATACATGAAAGGTCAGGCAACAATGTAGAATGGTCAGTAATCCACAAGATAGCTATTGACATGGCCCAAGCTTTGCCTTTCCTTCATTACTCTTGTGTTTCCTGCATAGTTCATCGTGACATCAAGCCTAGCAACATCTTACTTTATGAGGAGTTTAATGCGTACCTATCAGACTTTAGGTTAGCTCAGCTTCTAGAAGTTTTTGAGACCCATGCTACCATAGATGTAGCAAGCACATTTGGGTATGTGGCACCAGAATATGCAACCACTTGCAGGGTTTCTAACAAGGCTAGTGTTTATAGTTTTGGGGTTGTGCTCTTGGAACTGATGTCATGAAAGCAGTCCCTCAATCCATCATTTTCTGAGTATGGTAATGGGTTCAATATTGTTGCATGGGCTAAATTGTAATCAAGAAGGGATGTTCTTCTAAGCTCTTCTCCCCAAAATTGTGGAAAGCTGGGCCTAAAGAGAGTTTGTTGGGAATTTTGAGACTTGCATCATCTGCATAGTGGAACCGCTTTCTATTGCCCATCAATGAATCAAGTCCTTGAGAAACTGAAGCAACTTAATTCCTAAAAAACGATTACCTTTTTCTCAACACCTGGTATTGGACAATAATAAAAAGGTCATCATGCTTTGTCTATGCTACTGAGGTCAAGTCATTCGTTGATGGGTTTAATCATTATCATATCCTTCTTCTGATTCTAGAATTGCAAATATATTTCTTGGCTTCAGCTTAACGCTTCATTATTCATATCATCAAACTTCATTTTCAGAAATATAATCTTGTATATTTATTTTTTTGGTTTCAAAATTTTTGCAGCGTTTTGAAGTGTGAAACACAGTTAAATGCACCTTCTTGGTCAATAGCAGAGAATCAGACATTTTCATCTTTGACTGGAACCAATAACTTGAAATCCATTTCTACAATAGTGCCCACAGATATGATAATTAATGTATTACATCCAATTACTCTGGAGACTACCAATTTTCTCAATCTACCAAACAACTATTCTTGACTTGTCCTGTCCTCAATTTTCATGTTTTGCAATCTATATATTTTGCAATATACGTAATGTGTATGCATGTGACCGCATGGGCATGCTGGCTAGAATGTTATCTGAGAAGCATGACTAACCTCCAAGAATGCAACAGTTAGTATAGTGTTAATCTGAAGCCCTCCTTGATGGCTTTTACATTAATCACTGATATCTTGTTCTCTAGTAACTTTTTGTTTTTTACAGGTAACATAACTCACACACATGGAGCTTTCATCACTAAGCATCGTGGTTTGGTGGTTCTTCACACAACTTAAGGTTGCATGCAATGTTCTGCAGGCCTTCGGTAATCTCGGATTACTGGCCGGTTACGGTGCTAAACCCATAGGGCCGGGTTTGGGTCGTGACACAGACATTTTCATCTTTGACTGGAACCAATAACTTGAAATCCATTTCTACAATAGTGCCCACAGATATGATAATTAGGTCATGTTTGATTCACAACACTAATAGTGAGGTATTAATAATCCTATTAAATTAGTGTGGTATTAGTTATCCCACCCCTACCCCATTACTAATAATCCTACAAATTTGTTGGATTAATTATTCATTGGATTAATAATCCTAAACCAAAATGTCAAAACAAACATAGGATGATTGGGCCCACAGATTAATAATCCCAATCCTATGCTTTAATCCTTCCAATCAAACATGCCCTTAATGTATTACATCCAATTACTCTGGAGACTACCAATTTTCTCAATCTACCAAACAACTATTCTTGACTTGTCCTGTCCTCAATTTTCATGTTTTGCAATCTATATATTTTGCAATATACGTAATGTGTATGCATGTGACCGCATGGGCATGCTGGCTAGAATGTTATCTGAGAAGCATGACTAACCTCCAAGAATGCAACAGTTAGTATAGTGTTAATCTGAAGCCCTCCTTGATGGCTTTTACATTAATCACTGATATCTTGTTCTCTAGTAACTTTTTGTTTTTTACAGGTAACATAACTCACACACATGGAGCTTTCATCACTAAGCATCGTGGTTTGGTGGTTCTTCACACAACTTAAGGTTGCATGCAATTTGCATTAAAGTTTCCCATTTTCTTTGCTTTTGATCGAAGTGATAAGCTACCTCATGCACCTTTTTCCTTTTGCAGAATCAATCAGCATGCTATTGAGGCAGCAAAGCATATAGGAAGCCTTATGTTGGTATTGGCAGTGTAAAACCAATTACTAGTTGGACATTTTGTTGTCATGCTGAATTCAGTGGGGCTGTAAATGTACTGCACTCGTTCGTTGCTGCTTAATTTGAGCTGCCAATTCATCTGGTTCAGCAATTTTGAACTGGCAGTACACTAGAAACATTGTATATAATAACACATCTTATATTATTCAATTTGCATAACTTTCTTGGTATTATTAATGAGTTGGAAAACAATACTCTCTCAACACCATCTCTAAGCCACCAAAGGCATAAATATGGATGCTGGCACATACAGTCCCTCTCCACAATAAAACCTCAGCTTTGAAGTTTGAGGGATGGGATTGTAAGAAACTAGACCCTTTTACTACTACCAACTCAATCACCACCATATATCAATATCATTAACCATGTGACAATAGGATTATGAATCCATTAAGGAAAATTTGGTAGTGGGCCGCACAATGCTTGATATGACTAATTAAATTACTTTCCAATAAAAACAAGAAAAGAAAACTATATTTACACCTTGCAAGTAAAAACTTAATCAAATGCTCTTGAATCTGTGTTATTGAAAAGGTTTTCCCATAAAATGGCAACATAAACATTTACATTATTCAGGAAACCTTGGAAAGTCAAGCAGACAACGTAAAAGAAAAATTAAATGACAAATAAATTTATAAAAAGTAAAAGGGACGAAAAGCTTACTCTAAAAACAATACATATACTAATGGACTAGTGAAAAAGAAAACAAATCCTGAGCACGCATCCATGTAAGTAAAGGTGCTCGAGAGCAAAATGATTGTTGCATTGCATGTGGAGATCTTAGGTAGAGAATTTCAAAGCACTGTCTCAACCGGACATGGGAGCAGCAGCAGCTTAGGTTCCCAAAATAACATCAAGGAGCAATAGCACTCTGTTTAGCCTTAAGGACAAGCTCCTCAGTGGTGGTGCCAATGATCTCATTAGCACGCTTAAGACTGACACAGTAATATCTTCCAATCGAATCCTGTATTGAAATATTGCACTCTCATCAAAAGAACAAAACCACACACAAACAAAAAAAAAAATTAAATTAAATAAAATCAGATACAATGATATGTAGGTCAGCAGGTATCAGTTAGGATTTGCATAGAGAATACTTTATTGAAACTCTATCCTACAGAGAGTAATATTATCAAATTATCTGTGTGCAACTACAAAAATGTACATCGTACATGTTCCATAGGTAGAGATAAAGCATCACACTAGGGCCATAATTCATCCAATTCAATGAACAAACCACATGTCTAGCAAAGCTAGATCCCTTGGCAAGGGTAGGGTTTCCGCTCAGTGCATCCCCTTACTGGTGTTAAACCCACAAAAATTCATTTGAATTGAAGAGAGAATAAACATATTAATTCAAGTATTACCCACGTTACCAGGAAGGAGAAAAGGATGATCTCACCCGAGCAACAATGCCTAATTTCTCTAGCTTCTGAACTGCATCATCCACATCAAAATTACATTTCTCACCAAATTCTTCCTTGATTAGTTCTTCACACTGCATGTCAAGATCCTATTTCATAGTATCACAAGTCATGCATCAACAATTTTGCAGATAATACTGGAATCGGTAAATGAACATTGCAAAAGGCAGTAAGGAAGTAATGCAAAACCTGTCGAGTAGCTTTGCCCTGTTCCATCAATATAAAAAATGAAATGATTACCTCCTTTACCTGTACATTCAAATAACAAGATTCTATGAGCAACTGGCTTTGTGCAATAACTTACATCAAGGTTTAGAAATTCTTGATTGACTAGCGAGCCTTGTTGAATTAGATTCAAGATTCATCCAATGATCCATATAATTAAAAGCTTCAATGAAAACCTAGTAACGATGGAACATTGATCTAAATTCCCTTTTAAACCGCAATTCAGACACTCTATATTTATGAACCAGCTTAGGTAAGTTTCAAATAGTTTAATAGTCGACTGTGTGAAGTTCCAATAATTTTGACACAGGTGATGCAAATTAATTTTGGAGTAAATAACACTTTACTCCCCGTGGTTTGATTTGTAACACTACAACCCAAGGGGTAAAACACCAAAGTTGAAAATTTGATGTTTTCTGTCTCAATCATTCGAAAAACTAATGCTTGATATTTTTTTTATTTTAATCTGAATTATTTCATATTTAAAATTACATTTATTCCCCTTACGCATTTCTCCCCTTTTGATTCTTTCTTTCACACTTTGCTCTCTGTAACTCTATAGTCTCAATGTGCACTCTGCAGCCAAAGCTAGAATTTGAGTTTTGACTTTTCTTTTCTTTTTGATTTGGGTTTTGATTTGTTCTTTTACAGCAATATGAGTTGAGGAGGAAGGAGGGAGGGAGGAAGGGTATTTACGTATAGGTCCTAATAAGTGGACTTATTATCTAATAGGTCCTATGGGAAAAATGTCATAAAAAAAATGTCACTAATTGTAATTTTTAGTGACAATTTATAAAAATCATGAAAAAAAGTCACTAATTGTCACTTTTTAGCGACGTATATAAAAAATTGTCACAAAAAAAATATTTTTAACGATAATTTTACCAAGACTTATTTTCAATAGAATTTGATGATAATTAAGTTTAACTATTAGGAACTATTGGTAATTTAGGTGTGGGGGTAGCAACAGGGTGGGGGAGGGGAGAGGGAGCTGCGACAGAGCTGGGGAGGAGAAAGGGGGAAGCGACTGGGCTATGGAAGGGCTGTGGCAACAAGGGTGGAGGGAGGAAAGGGAAATGACAAGGTGGCGGGAGGGAGTGGGGAGGGCGATGCTGGAGGGGGGGGAGAGGAGGGTGGTCCTACAGTAGGGGAGGGGAATCGATGGGGTGGGGGAAGGAAAAAGGAAGGTGGAGCTGCAAGAGGAAATCAACGGGTTAGGAGAGAGGAGGGACGAGGATGGTACTGCCGGGGATGGATCTGTGTTAGAATTTACCTACACCTACCACCACCTACTACCACACCTACTACACCTACCACCAATTTACCCTCACCTACTCCTCACCTACTACCCAAACCCTCTCCTATATAATGAGCCACTCTGATTTGTAATATATACAAAAATAACAATCAATATATATCAATCAATAATACAATTCTCTCTATTTCTCTATACATAATTAATTCTCTCTATTTCTCTTTATACATTAAATTTCTACAATCTGGTGGTGGGTGGTCATGGCGGTTTCAAGTGGTGGTAGCGGTACAGCAGTTGTGTTTTGACTAATGGTGTGGTTTCAGGTGGTATCTATAATGATTTTGGCTAGTGGTGATGCTATGGTAGATGAGAGAAGAAAGAGAGAAAAAGAAGACACATAAGAGAAAGGAGAATAAAAAGGTCATTGTTGTCAATTCTTCAAGTAGGGGGAGGAAAAAAAAAAAAAAAAGAAGCAAATTTCTAGCTAGCAACTTACTTCCTGTTGAATCACATCATCACATAAGTGAAGAAGAGTGCCCTTTCCACTATCCAGTTGTTTGTCATACATGGACTGAGTAATTAAGTTCTGATATGTAGCCATATTTTGCTGAAACCTACAGGCAGTTGAAACATTTGGTAAATTAATACCTATGAGATCAACAGACTTTAAAGGACAAACAAAGCAATGACAAAGGAAAAAGCATGATTATTATGTAAATACAGGTTGCCTGTGGCATGTACGGAGCACATGCAATCACAGCTCCAAGCCCAATGCATGAAGCAGTGGCTCCAACCAAGAAGAAATCCTACATCAGGAGTTTCCCTGATCTGACTCACTCGTCCACTATAGCAGTAAGGTGGAAAGAATATTAAATATATAGAAAACTAAATATGCATTTGACCAGATCAACTTGTTATATAAGACAATTCTCAAGCAGATCCTTCACATGGTAGATCACGCAGACAACATGCACGTTTGCTCAATGAACAACACATCCACATGAATCAAAATCAAATACTGCAAACACTTTACGTGAAGTATGTCTTAGCACAGTAACCAATCACAGTTGAAAGGATGGCAAATATGACCCAAAGATCAGCTTTAGGCATGTCGAGCGAACCCACAACTGCAACCTGTAGAAGAACATGGTATGTTTATCAAAACAAAATGGATAAAGTATGAGTAGGAAACAAGTTCAATATATATCAGATAACTAACCAGTCCAACAATAGCAGAACCAAGAAATATGACCCAATCCATTGGCGTTAAACCTGGATTTTTCTTTTCTGGCTGTTAATGAGTAGAAGTTCACGAGTTCATACATTAATAAGTGGGTACAAGGTTTTAGAAAAGTTAAAATATCACTGAAAGAGAAAGAGACAGTCAGAGCAGCCAAAAACACAGTCAGAGCAGCCAAAAACTTACGAGGACAATTTCCATATCAGCCATTGGAATGTTTTTGAAATGCTTCACAAATATTCCTCGTCCTGTTCCATTTGTACTTGCTCGCCTGCATGGTCATCATGGTTGTTAGAAATAACAAATCCATGACAATAATCAATGGATGGTTTCCCAATGTACAATTAATCCCTTTTCAAGTGCCCTAATTTCCCCATGTGTAAAGTGGCAGTGAAATTTTGAAGGTGGATGCACTTTTCAAACATTGTATAACAAAACATCATATATGCTCGACTTTGTAGCAAAAAATAACTTCCAAAATTGGTGGTGAATAGAAGATCTTTTTCAACAAAAACATCTAAAACACTAATCGAAACAAGATTTTAAATTGGAAAATGAAAGCTAGTACCTGTAAACAACAATTATCCTGTCAAAGGTAGGTTCTTGAATGGTGATCTTGCCCAGAAGATTGCGGAAACTGGGATAAAATAAAATAAAAATGTCACAAACTTCCCATAAACATTCAGGAATTCAAGTCTGGGAGTAAAATAATACATAGGTCCATTTCTAATAGATTCACACTGATATGCATGCATGCACATGGATGTCTATGTACCCTAATGCTGCTCTGCATGAGTATGCAACTGGAAGATTTGCCTGGTTTTTTGGCTGTGCTAACAAAAAACATAAAAAGTGCAAGATTTTATTCTTCTATAATCAGCTTCCTTAAATTCATTCTATTTTCATAGTAAAAATGTGATGCACACTAACAAAGTATCAAAGAACCTTGAGAACTCCATGCCAATTCAGGATGAGGTTGTAGATACTGAATACCAACATTCAGGACTCATTCAGTATTAGTCAATACATGGGATGTGTATAGCGATTCCGGTTTTGACCCGTTATCTATTATATTCCGGACTCGGGTTGGTATGGTTTAAAATGGTTATTCATATCTTGATTCCTTTGTCTTCCCCTTATTTTGGTTATCGGGTTGTGATTGTGCGTTTGAAACAGGTTGGTTGTTTGTATTCCAAAACCTTTGTTGCCCATATTTTGGCTCTTCCGCTCGAGCGGGCTTCACAAATTTGCCCCTCCGCTCGAGCAGCCATTCTTGAGCTCAAGCGGGACTTGTCAACTCTCAGTATTTTTGCAGATCTGCAAATACTGGGAAAATGCATTGGACACTCAAGCATCCATTCTCACGCTCGAGCGAGAACCTTCGTCTGCAGAACTTCTGGAAGTGTACATTCTACGCTTGAGAAGAACTTTGTGTCTGACGCTCGAGCGTCACTTTCCACGTTCGAGCGGACTGCGCGTATAACAGTCCGAGAAAATGATATTTTGAATCACTTTTTCATTTTCCTCTCTCTAAAACTTTCCAAAAACCTTATTCTTGAGCCTCTCTCTCAAACTCACCTTCTCTCTTAGATTTCATCTAGATTCGTCGATCTCTTCACCCTAGTGCCTTTGAGAAAAAGGTAGAGTGCATCAAGATCTACATTTTGATCCGAATAGAAGTGGGTTTCAGTATTCTTGGAGTTTCTCTCTTGCGTGGCTCATATTCTTCCTTTGAGGTAGGGATTTTTCTACACCTCATATGTTATTTAGCTTAGATATTTGTCATTTGTGTAACAATGGTGTGATTTGAGGAAGTTTTGAACAAACCTAGGGTTCTGGTATAAAATAGAAAGAGGGATTTTGGTGAATAAGATGAAAATGATCGTGGGGTTTGAAAATGATGTTATGTTGTGTCTAATTTGATGATTTTTTTGGCACTTAGTTAATATTTGGGAAAAAGGGAAGTGTATGCCCTAAATAGATCAAGTTATTATTTTATATAAATAGTTGAAGTTTACATTGAAAATGTGAGATTGGAAGGATATTGGTATGAATGATGAGATTGGTTATGTATTATCTCAATCTTTGGAAATTTTGAATAGCTTATGTGTCATGAGATTAAATATCTGTTTAGAAATATCTGCATTGTGCTATCGGTAAAGGATAACCAAGATTGTTGTAGAAATTGCATCCGGATTAGGTAAATTGAAACTAATCGCTTGTGATTGTCATTGAATATGACTATGCTTATATATATAGTATATTTATGATTATTTGGGAGTAGAAAGGGGATGTGCTCCACGTATGATTATGTGTTTAAATACATTACATATATATGAATGATTGTTTGGGAGGAGAAAGGGGATGGACTCCATTATAATTAAGTTGGCCGGAGTGTCCTGGGTAAAAGTCCCGAAATGATACATGGGTGCCGATCCCGCGAACGAAATATCCGTAAAATGGCAATGGTAGTGCTTGTATAGCCTACGTTTACATGGGTCCCATTTGACGGTTTCCCGCGGGCAAAATATCCGTGAAAAGGCAGTTTGAAGTGTTTGTATGTTGACGATGTGATTATTGAACCATTGATATGTAGTCTCATTTGGATTGTTAAAGAAATTATGAAATTGACTCATGAATTGAGATAAGTAAATGAATTGGAAGTGAATTGGAGAAAACTAGATTATGATTTGAAATTTGATGACTTTGGAGAATATAAATCGTGGATGTTTTATCATAGACATTGTATACACTCCTTGTACTTATACCTTTGCTAAATTTCATATACTGTGTTAAATGATTCCTGCTGCCTGCTGGGCTGTGGCTCACTCTACTTGGGAAATAACTTTTCAGGTGTTGGTGACATGCCTCCGCCAAGGCAATAGCTTCCATTTTTGTTATTTCTTTTGTAAAGCCAAGGGCTCAAAATGTAATTGAGTGAAGCTCATTTTGTTGTAACCAAGTCAAAGCTTGGAAAGGTGTAAGCCGATAGGGCATTTATCTACGTTAAACACTTTTGTATCATTAACTTCATGTAATGAAAGAACTATTTATTATGAATTATGAGATTATTATTTATGTTTTGGGTTATATTTATTGTATGATTTTGAGGGCGTTACAACTTGGTATCAGAGCGTACCGGGTTTGAATACTTTGGATATGTGGGAAGTTGTTAGTGCTACAATGGGTTCGTCTCGCTTGCTAGAGACTTAAGTGTGAACGATATGTACTTATATGACAACATGCTTATGTGATTATTTGGGTATGGGATTGAATTTCTAGGATGTTGATTGGGTCTACTGGTTTCTAAGAGTCCTATCACTTGATCACTGTTGTTTCTAATTGGAACTCTAGCAACGCCGTGAGACGGTCATTATCCGAAGATGAAATTCGTATGTGTTTATGTGATTACGTGCTTATATAGAGTGATTTACTATTGTCCATTGCTTTAGGACGCGAGTGAGTTAACTTTGGCATATTTGTGAATATGCCAATCCTTTTGTTACCTTTATTAGGATGTCAGGACGTGGTCGTGGTGGTAGGCGTGGTAGGCCTAGGAGGCACGAGATACCTATACCGGATGAAATTCCGACACAGGAAGAGGGAGTTGGTCAGGCCAATGTGGCCAAGCCAGTAGGTCAACAGGCCATAGGCGCCTTAGCTCGCTAGATAGCCGGAGCCTTGCGGGAATCTATGGATATTCTCAGAGCTAAGAATTAAGTCCAGGCCCAAGTAGCTGAAGCAGGGCCGTCTTTTCTGAAAAGGGAGTTCTTCCGGTTGAATCCGGACGAGTTTTTGGGTGACCCAAAGGAGTCACTGAAGGCAGACGAGTGGCTTGAACAGATAGTGAAGACGTTCGAGATGCTGGGCATCGAGGACAATCAATTGAGGGTGACCTTTATGTCTTTCCAGTTGAACGGAGATGCGAGTCAGTGGTGGAAGTATGCGCGTGAGTGCATGGGGGTGACTTGGGAGGCCTTTGTCAGCGCCTTCCAGGACAAGTTTTTGCCTCCTACTATTAAGGAGAAGTTGAGGGATCAGTTTTCCCAGCTCAAGCAGTTGAACACACTTGTGGCAAAGTTTGAAGCCGCCTTCACTAGCTTGTCTAGGTTTGCACCTAAGCTTGTGGCGACTGAGGAGCGCCGTTGTGTGGAATTCGAGAAGAAGTTGAGGACCAGGCTCATGTTTAGAGTGGCCGGATCCATGATTAGGGATGGGTGTCTCGTAGAGGCGGCGACCCATCTCGAGACGATCATGCAAGCAGAGGAGGAGAGGATGAGAGGCTCCAGGAGGAGTCAGGATAGTCAAGGGCACGGTAAAAGGCAAAGGGGTTCTAACCCTCAGCAGTCCCAGGGAGTGCAGTCGAGATCTACTTTTCCAGTGCCGAGTTCGAGTTCTGGGAGAAGTGGTCAGGGAGATGTGACTTGTTTCAACTGTGGTTAGTTGGGCCACAAGTCTCCAACTTGCCCGCAGAGAGGAGGGCAGCGAGCTGCTTCGTCTTCGGCTCGTTCCCAAGGCCAGAGTCAGGGTAGAGGTCAGCCGTCCACTGGTTATCAGTGTGGCCAGGCGGGGCACCTGAAGAGGTTTTGCCCACAGTTGGGTGACACATCTGGTGCGTCTGATTCGAAGCAGACACAGAGTCACCAGCCAGCACAGTCAGCACAGGCTTAGAGAGCCAATCAAGGAGCTTCTTCGGCTCAATTATTGCAGCAGGCTTATGCGCCAAGGGGTGAGCAGATAGGTCAAAGGCCAACAGGGCGTGTATGCTGTTACCGCGCCAGATCTTGTACCGGCTCCTTCTGTAGTGAAAGGTACCTTTTTGTTTTGCAATTCAGTTACTAATGTGCTGATTGATATGGGTGCATCCCATTCCTTTATTTCGTCTTCATTTGCATCGCTTTTGGGGTTGGAGTTAGCACAGTTAGCATCTCCTATTTGTGTAAAGTCACCCATTGGTGGTGAAGTTATCTTGAAACAGGGGTGTCGGGGTTGTGACATAGAGGTCGCCAGTCGTAGACTCCCTTTTGCCTTTGTATTGCTTAATATGTCTAATTTCGATGTTATTTTGGGTATAGACTGGTTATTGTCATACCGAGCTGTTATAGATTGCTACCGTCAGAGGGTTACTGTATGTATCTTGAGCGGTGCCTGTTTTCATTTCTTGGGGGACCGGGTGGATAGTCTTATCACTGGTGTATGATACGCGTGGGCAGAGTGAGCTTAGCTGTCTTCTTGCTACCTTCTTGAGTGGTGAGTGTGATGAAGTCTAAGTTAAGTTGCCAAGGGTGGTTTGTGAATACCTAGATGTTTTTCCCAAGCATCTCACTAGTTTGCCACCTCACCGAAAGATTAAGTTCTTTATTTAGTGCCTGGCATCGCACCGATTTCTATGGCATCGTATCGTTTTGCACCCGCTAAGTTGAGTGTTCAACTCCAGGAGTTATTAGATAAGGATTTCATCCGCGCTAGTACATCACCTTGGGAAGTGCCGACCCTTTTTGCTAAAAAGAAATATGGAGCCTTGCGACTTTGCATTGATTATCGAAAGTTGAACCGGGTGACCGTTAAAAATAAGTATCCAATGCCTCGTATAGATGATCTATTCGATCAGTTAAAAGGTTCTTATTGTTTCTCTACGGTAAACCTGAGATCGGGTTACCATCAGTTGAGGGTAAGGGAGGAGGATATCCCGAAAACGGCATTCCGTACACGGTATGGCCATTATGGGTT